GAGGAGGTGGCGCGAGCCCCCTCATGGTGACCCCCCTTGGCGTGGCCTGGCCCCGCGGGGGGCGAGCGCAGCTTTTCGTCGTGCTCGGCGCCTCCTGCCCGTCCAGGCCCGCCCAGGCGGGGCCCGGGCCAACGGCCATCGCAGGACCGCGACGCATTTCTGATGCACTGGCGGTGCGGCGCTGTCTGGAGCCCGATTTTCTCCGTCCTGGCGTCGCCGATGCACCGCCGACGCGGTGCGACCCTCCGATCACGTCTGCTCCGACTCCGCCTGGGCGGCCTCCAGGCTGGCCGGCCGCCGCCGCACGGCCAGGCCCTCCTCTCGCCTACCCTCCCGCACCGGCGTGCTGGCAGAGGTCCCCGAGATGGAGCGGACGAGCGGTGACTGTCGCACAGACTTCCCGCCGTCGGGGGCGCCTGCCCCAGGGCGGCGGGAAAGTTGATGCCCCGACGTGCCACCGTGGGGGTGCGAGCTCTCCAGCCGCCCGGGGGCAGGAGCCCCCGACGGCGGAGAGCAGTCTACTTGGTACCGCTCCTCGTCCGCCAAGGGGTTCTGGAGTCGCAGGTTTGCCGCGCCGGGCGTTTCCGCCCGGACTCGGGCTCTGCGGCCCTCGCGGGTCGGTTTCTCTCGAGACGTGCTGCGGAGCTGCCACGAGGCGGCTCCACCCCGGAGCTGCCACGAGGCGGCTCCTCAGGGCGGCATCTTCCGAACCTCCCTACTACTTTTCTGGGCCTTCGGCCGAGGGCGTCTAGGCCTTTAGGCAGCCTGTCGCCATCAACAACAACAGAAGTGCCGAGAAGAGAGATTGGGGGCTCCAGTCGTGATTTCCACCATGTTGCAATCTTCTTCGCGACTTCAGGGTGTCCCTGGCCTTCACGCGGGCGAAGAAGACACGACCACAGCCGCCGGGCCGACGTAAACGCCTCTGGCGCCCCCCTCAAGGCCGACCCCGACCTGTGGCGGTGGTGGCCTCCGCGCGGCGCCCGATTTCGAGTGCCGCGCGCAGGTCATCTCTGCTGGGGGTTCAGGGTCGGCCTTGGGGGAGGCCCCGGTGGCGGTTCCCTCAACCCTGCGGTTGTGGATGTCTCTAGGGAACCGAACTCCACACACCGACGCTCTTTTCTGGCCCTGCATTGAACGTTGCACAGGAAAGCGGATCCTGGTGTATACGGGACCCTGGTGTATCGTCGTTTCCCCAGGAAGCCAGGGAAACAGGTACACAACACACCTCCCCGACGTCGTCCCCGACCCTCAACAAGTCCTGGGATTGAAAAGCAGTTTCCAATGGCTCCAGTTTCCCGAGTCTCTTCTTCGCACCCGAGTCCTAGCCCAGACGACTGGCATCACGACAAAGTCGCGCCGGCGGGCCTTCCTGCGCGTTCGGCCTCCGAGGGCCCGTGTCGTGAGGAGCCTGCCCTGGGGATGGGGTCCAGAGAGCTGCAGGGGCACGTGTCTCGAAGAGGTCGTGGCGTCGGAGGCTTGGAAAGCTGTCCCCTGCATGGTTCACTTCGATCCGATCTGACCGACTCGGCATCGATTCCCGAATGCTCGATCCGATCCGCTTCTGATACCACCGACGATCCGATGCGGCCCAGGGCCCGCACGGCGCTGCTGCGCATCTTGGCGCAGCCGCTCCGATTCGATCTCGATCGACTCCGTGCCGATGCGGCCCAGCCCGATCCGAAGCGCCTTCCGATTCTCGGGGGCGGCCTAGAGGGGGGTGATGACTGGGGGGCGTGGATATCACGGCGGGGGCCATGATATCTCCCCAGATTTCATGGCGCCTCCTCTTGTTTCATGACGTCCCCGGCCCCCCCCCCCCTGGGCCGCGCACGTGCCGCCGGTCATGATTTGCACCTCCCCCCCTCTTGGACGCCCCCCTCTTGGACGCCCCCCCGTGCATCGCTCGGGCGTGTGCCTATTTTTTCTCGGCGAGGGCCATCGAGGAGCATCTCGGAGCCTCGTGCGAAGGAGAGGCGCGCGCAGGCGAGGAGTGCACGGGGAGTGGGCGTCCGGGCGATGGCGAGCCAGGCCAAGAATTATGATGTTACAACCTACCTAAGCCTTGATCGCCAGAAAGAATTTCGAGCGCCAGGAAAGTGTCCCCAAACTCTAGGGTCTTCACGTGTCGGGCCCTGGGAGACACTCGTCCGACACTGTTTCGATACTGTTTCGGGTGCTCGAAATTATTTCTGGGATGTGGTCCTGAAGTGCGATGGGAGCAACATTATCCAAGAAGGCCACTTCTGTCAGCAGCCAGTGCGTGGCGTCTTTTTCCCTTGCTGGCGCGCGCGCGTGCGCCGTGCTCACTGTCCTGGCTGTCACTTTCTGTGTCGAGCGTTGTGTAACACAACTTGCTCAGTGCGTCCGAGACTTGAGCGGCGCTGGATGTTCTATCTGCCTCCCAATCGTCTTCTGGTCCCGTTTCGAAAAAGCAGGGGAGGAATGGCCGAGGAGTGGTGGCCAATTGCGAGGGCGGCCGTTCTCTGGGTGAGTGTCCAGGCGTTTGACTCCAGAGTTGACGGGAAGGTCTCCCACGTTCGTCCAACAGCGCTCCCGCGTTAGGGGGTTCCCGCCTGTGCTCGTGGCTTGCCAGAACGGCGGTTTTCCACTCAGCCTCATGGGGCTCTGACGGCGCCGTGATCGCCGCCGAGGAAAAAGCAAACCAAAAACACTGCCAAACGGCAAGGTGGCCCGCGAGCCCGCGGCCCAGGCCTCCAGTGGCCCGTGCTCCGCGGACAACCGTGGCCCGTGCCCTGGTGGCCTTCGCTCCGGTGGCCTTCGCCTCGCTGGCTCCTCCTCCTCCTCCTCCTCCTCCTCCTCCTCCTCCAACTCCCCCTCCTCCTCATCCTCCTTCTCCTCCTGCTCCTCCTCCTCCTCCTGCTCCTCCTCCTCCTACTCCTCCTCCTCTTCCTCCTCCTCCTCCTCCTCCTCCTGCTCCTGCTCCTCCTCCTCCTCCTCCTGTTCCTCCTCCTCCTCCTCTTCCTCCTCCAGTGGCCTGCTGCCTCTTGGCTCGGAGGCTGGTGTCTCGCTGGACTGCTGTGCGGTGGGCGGCGGGCCGTTCACCTGTTCCGCGTCGCGCGTCACCGTGCGTGCTCTCAAGAGTTCCCTGCTCGCGGCCTCCCCGGTCAAAGGCGTAGGTCTGAAGTTGAGCCGCTCTTCGGGCCCCCTCCGTGGGCCAGCCATATGATGAATCCTTTTCGGGGGCCTTTCCTGTAGAGGGGTTGCTGGAGATTGCCGTGTCTGGGAAAATCCTGTAGCGGGGTTACCTATGGAATTCGTAATTTCTTTGTGTTCTCTTGTGAAGGGGTTCGCTCCAGATGCGGCTATGGGTAGATGTTCCTGACCAGTCCCCCGTCGACGACTGAGCTTTGTGAGGTGCCCCGGGGCTCTGTGGGCCCATCGGGAGACAGCAGATTCTCGTGGGGCACCCGTGGGCAGACCAGTTTCGTATTTTCTCCCGCCGGCAACCCAGTCTGGCGAGCCTCCCCGCGACCCGCCGGCAGCCCGCCTGCGACCCGTCGGCGGCCCGCCGACCACCCGCCCGCGACCCGCGGCGCACCGCGGCCCTCCCCGCGACCCGCCCCGCGACCCGTTTTTTTTGGGGGCTGCGTCGTGACCAATCAAGTATTCAGTCGGGCCTGTCCCTCTGCAGGAGGAATGTTCAAGAATAGTCGAACAAAATGGTCGGGGGACGATTTTTCGACCACTTCTGTCCAGCCTTCTCCGTATCTTTTGGAGTGTCTTAACTTTGTCGTCCGAAACCCGCCTGCAGGGGGACATGCCCGACCTAAATCGACTACGACTGGGTTCTGTGCAGTTTTTTTGCTCTCCGCCTGCGCAGTCTGCGGGCCTTGGGGCAGCAAGAATCGATCCGTGCCGAGAGGTCGGCCCTCTGGGCAGGGTCCAGAGCTCTGGGGGCCTCGTGCGGAGAAGTCGAGGGACATCGGAGGTCTCTTCCTCCTCCTCCTCATCCCTCCTCCTCCTCCTCCTCCTCCTCCTCCTCCTCCTCCTCCGCCCTCCTCCTCCTCCTCCTCCTCCCTCCTCCTCCTCCTCCTCCTCCTCCTCCTCCTCCTCCTCCTCTTTCTCCTCCTCCTCCTCCTCCTCCTCCTCCTCCTCGTCCTTCTCCTCCTTCTCCTCCTGCTCCCCCTCCTCCTTGCAAGGAAGGGTGGGGAAGAGGGAAGAGTGGAGTGGGGAGATGGGACGAGGGAAGGAGGTGGGACAGGGGAAGGAGGGAAGTGATCGGAGATGGGCGAGGGCAGTTGGGAGGAGCGGGGAGGAGGGAGGCAGAATGAGAGGGAGGAGAGTGGAGAGGGGAGGGTGGAGGAAAAAAGAAAGAGGCGAGACGGGATGAGAAGGGAGCGGAGATAGTGGAGGAGGAGAAGTAGGAGGAGGAGGAGGAGGGTAGACTTTTTGCAGCGCTATCATATTAAGTAGTGCTTGATCTGGCAGACCGATTCGCTTATCTAGAGTTAGCTCGTCACAAAGATGCCTGCTGGAGCTTGAAGGCAGGTGCATGCCGCACGTAGACCCGTCGCGTCGATAATTGAGAGGATGAGAGGAGTTGGGGGAGGGGATGGGAGGAGAGGGGAGGATGTGAGAAGAGGGGTGGGGGTACAGGGTATAAGGGAAGGTGAGGGGAGGAGAGGGAAGGAGCGAGATGGAACCGGTACCGGAGGGGGAAGGGGAGGGTAAGAGAGAGGAGGGGAGGAGAGGATAAGGCAAAGATCTTGAAGCGGAAAGGGGAGACGGGAGCGGGCAAGCCATGTGCGATTGTGCGACACCAGACGTCTCTCACTTTGCCCGCTTGTCCCTTCCCTTCCACTGCGTTTGCCCTCCCCCCCCCCGCCTTCTCTCTTCGCCGAGCCAGGTGTCGAGTTTGACCTCTGTCCCTAGATGGCTCCTGCATGGCTTGGTGCGCATCTACTGCCCTGGGGGCACCAGGATGCGCGCGAGGATTGAGAGCTCCCAGCAGTGCCTTCTCTCCGCCCCGCCCGCAGGACGGAGCCATCACGATCTGCCACAGGAGCTCCGTCAAGGGCGCCGCCATGCACCTGAAGTATCCGTCCGAGAAGTTCCAGCTCCGAAAGCAGAACGGCCCTTGGGCTGCCCTCCCCCCGAGCCGATGATCCGCAGAACGCGCGCGGGGCGCTCCAGAAAGGGCCTCGACGACGAGGGGTCGATGAGCTGCCGTTTCTTCCTCGGCGGAGGGCTGCGGAGGCGAAACTGGGCAGGCTCCGCCAGCGGAAGGCGGGCGGAAGCGGTCGGGCGGGGCTGGGACGAGGGCAAATCCGTTCCAGAGCGTTGCGGAACGCTCTGAGAAGGCCGCGGCGCCTGAGGCATCCTCCAGAGCCGCCAGATCCCAAAGATCCTCGATCCATCCCCACCCGAACTGGTCCTCGTCCTGGCTGTGTATTCCTTCGCCCGCGCGCTCTGGCGTATGGCTCGTCCGTCTGCCTGTCTGGCCTCGCCTTCACTGTGCATCGGCCCTCCCCGAGATCCGCACTCTCTTGGGCGGGGAGGCGGGGCTTCGGGGGCGGGACGTGCCGCCGTGTGCGTTTGCCTGGTGCGTGTCTGCCCCGTGGCGGCCTCTGCCGCCTCCCCTGGCTCGGGTGGGCCCAGAAGGGGTGGTCCAGTGACGAGGGGGTGGTGCAGCAGATTTGGTGCAACAGATGTGGGGTTGCAATGCACCAGGGGCGTGCAACACATTTCGGGGCGCAGATGTATTGCTGGATTTTCGCGTGCAATGCATGACTTGCAATACAAATGCGATACAACTCTCCCGACCTAACGCTACCCTTCCCTCGTTTTCACCTTTTTGGGCCTCCTGGGAGGCCCTCGTCGCCGCCGCTGGGTTCGCCCCGGGATTCTGGTCAGAACGCACCCCAGGAGAGTTCCGGGGAGTTTCCCCAAGCGCCACGACCTGAGCCCCAGCCAGACCCCATCTCTGGCTAGTCTTTTGGAGCTGGGCCGAGCTGCGAGGGCCCCGGTGCCCAAATCGGGGCGAACATGCCCGGTGTGAAGAAAGCACGGCACCAGGATTAAGTCGGGCACGTCCCTCTAGAGCATGTTTTTTTTTTTGTTAGTCTGGGCGATAACGCTCGTGATCGCCCCCGCCCCTCCCCCCCGATCACGTCACGCTGTTTTACCCACATGTCTCCTCCTTTTCCTCGAGGGGAGACGGGGGGGATGGGGAGAGCTACGCGAGGAGGAGGAGCAGGAGGATGAGGATGATGATAACGAGAACGAGGAGGAGGAGGGGGACGACGACGACCACTACGACCCCGATGACAACGATCACGACGACGGCGACGCTGACGACCCCGACGACGATGATTGTGACGGCGACTCCGACGCTGGCGACGACGACGGCGACGACTCCGACGACAGTTCCCACGACTCCGATTGGACGACGACGACGCCAAGGAGGACGACGACGAACATTCCGACGATGACGACGACTCCGACGACGATGACGACGACTCCGATGACACTCGAAGCCTCCGGTTGGGGGGACACGTGAAGGATGGGAGGGGGAGGCCTCGGGGATCCTCCTGATCCTCCTCCTCGGGGGTCCGTCTCCTCTGCTCCCTCTCCCTTTTCCTTAGCTTTCTCCTCCCGAGGGCCTGGGGGCTCGAAAAAGGCCCCGGGAGGCCGGAAACTGCCGCGATGTGATCGGCCCCCCCCCCCCGATCACGCCCGTTTATCGTAATAAAAACATAATCCTACAGGAGGAATATTGGAAAACCGTAACAAAAATAGTCATGGGACGTTTTTTTTTTTTTTTTTTTTTTTTTTTTTTTTTTTTTTTTTTTTTTTTTTTTTTTTTTTCTTTTTTATTTTCATTTTAAAGAATATTATTATTATTATTATCAGTATTTTTTGTTATTTTTTTTTTGGGTTGAATAAAAACAATGTTAGACTCTTTTTTTTGTTTTTATTATTTTTCGTCCAAAATCCGCCTGTAGGGGGACACGCCCGACCTAACCCCAGGATCTCAGGGGACGTTGCCTACGGCGCACTGGGGCTTCGCTTCGGTGGACCGGCACACGCTGGCGCCACCACTCGGGGGCAGCCTCGGGGGGGTGATGGGCTCAGGGTGCAACGCATGGGCCCCCAAGCGCCCATCCATCGCCGACAGGTGCCCGCCCCGACCAGGAGAGCGGGCGGATTCGCTATCGGGGGCCTCCCGTCGATCTGTCGGCGATGTCTCGCCGTCGCCGATTCCGGGTCGATGCTTCCTTCCCTGAGCCGCTCCCCCCTTGTCGATCTCCCGCAGACTCGCTCTGAGGATCATCGGCCAGAAGCGCGCCGGAACGCGTCCCGCTCCACCGCACAGTGTACCACATGATGTGACAGGTTTACTTCATCCATCATCGTCGTCATCTTTCATCTTCATCACGGCGCCGGCGTTTGGCCGTACTCTCTCGCCTGCCGCCGCTCTCAACAGCGTTTGGCTGTTCGTTTGCCCTGCCTACGCGTCCACTCGGATGCAAGGCCGCTGTCTGTCTGTCTGTCTGTCTGTCTGTCTGTCTGTCTGTCTGTCTGTCCCCCGCACAGTCCGCGAGAATTCTGGCCGCCGCGCAGAGGAGGCGCCCCCATGTCGGCGATTTCCAAGATATGGGTCCATGAGCGATGGGGTCTATGCCTCGAGCAATCCTACGGTTCGGCGGCGAGCTGGGGGGGGGAATTGAGAAGGAGAAGGCCTTCTCAGAAGGCGGCGGGGCTTTTCAGAAGCGCTCCAGCCTTGTGAGGAGTTTTCTGTGTCTTCGGTGAAGGCTGAGAAAAGTTCTCTGAAGGCTGGAGAGCTTCCGAGCCATCTGAGAAGGCCCGCCCCCTCTCGCTTCCACCTTGGGCTGGCCGCCGAACGGTAGGTTCATGCGGCATTGGCGCGCTGGCGACGCTGGCGAAGGCGTTCAAGGCTGAACTCTGCGACGAAGAGGCACCGAGGGGCACAGTGACGCCACTGGGCCCGTCAGAATTCAGCCTTGAGCGATCGGGGCCGCGATCGGTTCAAGGTTGAACGATCGACGCGGTGCTGAAAGCCTTTGCGCGCGCCGACGCCGCGCTAACCTACCGTAATTCGACCTGTGTTGTTGTTGTTGTTGTTGTTGTTGTTGTTGTTGTTGTTTTTTGTTTTTGTTGTTGTTGTTGTCGTTGTCGTTGTTGTTGTTGTTGTTGCTGTTGTTGTTGTTGTTGTCGTTGTCGTTGTCATTGTCGTTATTGTTGTCGTTATCATTGTTGTTGTTGCTGTTGTTGTTGTTGTTGTTGTTGTTGTTGTTGTTGTTGTTGTTGTTGTTGTTGTTGTTGTTTCTGTTGTTGTTGTTGTTATTGTTGTTGTCGTTGTTGTTGTCGTTGTTGTCGTTGTTGTTGTTGAACATTATTAATTCTAAAGAATAATTATTGTTGGGACCCCTGGTGCACGGCCCCCCTGCGCCGCCTAGGCCGCAGCTACATTTTCATCATTTTCGTGAGGAAGCCTCAGGTAATTCGATGTGATCAAGATCCGGTTGTTTTGTTCCCCCCCGCTTTCCCTTGCAAAAAACACTATAAAATGACATTTCTTGTTCTAATATAATCAAATTTCAAGAATCCTTTGCAAAAAATAAGGTAAAGTGGACATTCGCGCGCGCAAGACGAAATCCTTCCAAAAGCTTAGTGTTCGGAGCGATTTCAACATAAAAACATCAAAAAACTAATGGTTTTTCAACAAAAAAATGTCAAAATCTCATCCCGCGCGCTCTTGCGGATTCGTAGGAAACCCAACACTTTTTCAACATTTCTGTCAAACGGGCTTTTGCGAGCAACTTTTTCGAACTTCTGCGACAACGGTTGCGCACCTGCCAGGGCCATCATCCCTGTCAAATAATACCATGCGGGACACATTCGTTTTTTCTTCGCGCGCGCACGCCGAAATCTCCAAAAACCATTGGGTTCTTAAGAATTTTAGCACCGCGCATCATAAAATCACACGAATCGCACCGTAGGTCCTCGAAAAACACCTGCACGACTTTTCAAAATTTCCACCCGCGCGCGCTGTCCTAACAACTTCTGTGGGTGTGTACTCCACGCCAGTGTAGTAGCCACGGTCGTCCGCAGGCCACGAAGTGAAGTGTCCGAACGTCATAGGGCGGGAAGCTGGGTGTGGGTGGTGGCGAAGAGTCGTGTGGATATTTGGTAGAGCTTGCACTGCCCCCCCACAAAGTGGGGGTATTGGCTGGCGTCGCATGAAAACCCTGGCACTGGTGAGAACACTGAGCGTTCGGGTAAAGTGATTGTTGTTGTTGTTGTTGTTGTTGTTGTTGTTGTTGTCGTTGTCGTTGTACTCTTCCTCCTCCTGGAGGAGGAGGAGAAGGAGGTGGAGGACATCTGGCGCACGTTCTTCCCTCCGTGGCTGTCAGACCTCTCCCTCTGTCGTCCGGCTTCGCGCGACGTCCCCCCCCTTCTCCCCACAGCTCTCGACCCCGCGGGCCGACTTCTGATTGTCCATGGGCCCGAGAATCGCCCCTGGAGGCCCAATTTCGGGAAACATTTTTTTTTCTTTCTTTTGTTGTTGTTGTTGTTGTTGTTGTTGTTGTTGTTGTTGTTGTTGTTGCTGCTGCTGCTGCTGTTGTTGTTGTTGTTGTTGTTGTTGTTGTTGTTGTTGTTGTTGTTGTGTTTGTGGCTCTTATCTACCGCCAGAATGTGCCCATATCCACCGCCGCAGCGGAGTCGTGCCATGTTGTGTCCTGATGCCCCGAGGGGCCGTGGACGTGGATCAATAATCTGTCCCGCAGTGTCGGCGGGGAAACATTAATTTCCACTGCTCCCCAGGGCTTGGCTACAACTTCTAGGAGTTTAGATTCGACATCGGCGCTGGTATATCCGCTGTCGAGAATCGTCCTGCTCTGGCCGAATCTCGCTTAATCTGATTCGATCCCGCTGAGTCTTGCTTCATCCTGGGCATAATCTGGCGACGTAATGGCCTCTTAATCGGGTTCACTAGCCCTTATCTAAGACGCCTACGGCGAATCACCGCCGCCCCCTACCTTGTAGAAGAGCCTATGTGGCCGAACGTTGCGGCCAGAGCTCGGCCAAGCTATCGGACTACGTATTCTCCCAGCCGTTGTGGAGATCCGTCGGAGAACACATGGGGGAGAAAGAAGAAGAAGAGGAGGAGCGGGAGAAAAAAGGAGGATGAGGCCTCCTGGGATGCTCTTGGGTCACTCTTGTGGCCTTCTGGGATGTTTATGGGGGCCTCTTGGAGGCCTCTTGGGGGCTTCCTGTGGGCCTCTTGGAGGTCTTTGGAGGCTCCTTGGGAGGCTCTTTGGCCATCTGAGGGCATTCCCGGCCCGTCCGTCGGAAGCCGTCTTGCAGGCCTCTCTTGGCCGACTTGGGTCTGCACGAGCGAAATGAGCACGGAAAGAATGGGTACAATGCCCAACAGCGGATCTTGTTCATTTTGAACAGGACTCGCTGTCCACGCCGCCGCGGCCTGTGTCCATTCGAGGGAAGGCCGCCTGCCCAACAGCGGCCGCTGTTGGTTTGGGACAACATTTGTTGTTGGGCATTGTACCCATTCTTTCCGTACCCATTTCGGGCGTCCAAGTTGGGGCCCTCTTGGGGCGCTTCAGGGCCTGGGCCGTCTTGGGGCCCTCTTGGGGCTGCCAGGGGGCCATCTCGGAGGCCTCTTGAGCGCTCTTAGAGCCATCTTGGTGGCCTCTGGCCTGGGCCGTCGGAAAGCCGAACATGAGCAAACGCCAGAATCTTGAAACACCTACGGAAAATCATGGATTTTGGCATCTTCGGGCCATCCTGGAGGTCCTCTTGGAGGTCTCTTTGGCCGTCTTGGGCGATCTCGAGGCCATCCTGGGCCATCTTTCTCGGCCCGTCTTGGAGACACCTTGGGACCAGCTTGGGCTCCCTCGGGGCCATCTTGGCAGTCTTGGAGGCCATCTTGGGGCTATCTTGAGCGACAAAGCTGACTGGAAGGGCGTCGCCCAGACCTTTCGGGCGGCCGGCGGGTTGGGCCGAGACCCCACTGGGAGTTACTCAGCAAAGAAGCAAAACCTGCCAGACGTTCGGCACGCCGTGCACCCCTGTGGCAAGACCACATGGGGGTGGCGGATGTATTGGCCTTCGGCCCACCCCGCCACCGTGCCTGGGTCTCAGGTCAGAGGCCCCTCGGGGCCCTCTTGGCCCGTGTTGGGGCGTTCGTGGCGCCGAACAGGTCATGCAGGAAGCACTGGGGAACCGCAGGAGGCAAGCCAGGAACCCCAGACAATGTGAGAATTTGGGGTCCGGGCCTCTTTCTGTCCAATCCTGACGCGAAGACCTCCCAGGAGTTGCCTCCTAATTTGGAGCCCAGTGCAGGACTCCAGATGCCGTGGACATGGATGTTCCCAGGCGGTGCAGGGTGCGGGCGGCTCCGACGGGCCCCGCCTCGATGGCCAAGCCGGCGAGCCTCGAGCGCTTCCCCGGGCCTTCCAAGCGGCGTGGGCCGCAATCGCCCAGCTGGCCGCCCGCCACCCCTCCGCTCTGCACCATCCTTTTCCTCGTCATCGTCGTCGTCGTTGTCGCCGTCGTCGTCGTCGACGTCGTCGCCGTCGTAGTCGTGGTCGTCGTCGTCGTCGTCGTCGGTTCGCCGCCACCGCCGCCGCCGCCGCTGCCGCTTCCTTCGGCGCCAGCGCCGTCGCCGTCGTAGTCGTGGTCGTCTTACTGGTCGTGGTAGTGGCGGTCGTCGTCGTCGTCGTCGTCGTCGCCGCCGCCGCCGCCGCCGCCGCCGCCGCCTCCTTTGTCGCCTGCGCCGTCGCCGTCGTAGTCGTGGTCGTTGTCATTAGTCGTGGTCGTCGTGGTCGTCGTGGTCGTTGTTGTCGTTGTCGTCGTCGTCGTCGTCGTCGTCGTCGTCGTCGTCGTCGTCGTCGGTTCGTCGTCGTCGTCGTCGTCGCCGTCGTGGTCGTCGTCGTCGTCGTCGTCGTTGTTGTCGTCGTCGTCGCCTGTCGCCCGTCGCCCGTCGTCGTCGTCGTCGTCGTCGTCGTCGTCGTCGTCGTCGTCGTCGTCGGTTTGTCGTCGTCGTCGGTTCGTCGTCGTCGTCGTCGGTTCGTCGTCGTCGTCGTCGGCCGCCGTCCGGGCCGCCCCCCCGCGAGACAGGCGCAGCCGCTGGGACCCGGCATGCCTCCGCGCTCGGCTTCGCG